GGTAGTGTGTGACTCATGGTGGGAGGTCGGTGCAGCAGCAGAGATAGAGATAGACAGAGATAACAGAGATAGGAGTGTCGGCCTTATCCTGGGGAAGCAGAGAGGGTCACAGTTTCTTGTGACATTGCTGACCATTCATCCAGACCATGGAGACCACGCTGACCTGGATAGCAACCTCAAATCAGGCTGCCAGGGTCTGGCATTGCAAACTCCTCTGGTGGTTCTCCAAGAAGAGGATGCCCGTCCTGATACTTCCTTGTCCAACACTTTCACTTTGTTGCTGACAATAAGCCAATCAGCTTCAAAATGCCAATGCTTGTTCAGGTCCAATTTTGTGCCGAAGATCTGCAGCTTTTATCGTGTGCTCCTAGTGTGCACTATTTCAGATTCAAAAATTGACTTGAATTAATATCCAGGCTTACTGCTCTGCTAATCTAATCTGACAAATATCCATTTTACATTCCATATGATTATGCTATACGGTAACATGAACAACATTATTATCTTATTTTTGCTAACAGAAGGAAAAAACATACAAGCATGGATGACTAGCAAGAGTGGGGGCCTTGGGTCTGGGTGGGATGCTCTTCAGAGGGTCGATGGGCAGAGTGGCCTGTTTCTACACTGTAGGGAGTCTATGACTGATTTGAACCTTCTGTGGGGGACTTGTCAAAAACCTTTTGAAAATCCAAATATATTACAACCTTTATATCCCTTTTATCAACTTCGTTTGTAACATCCTTGAAAACTCCAATAAGTTTGCCACGCACAATATCCCATTCGCAAATCAATGCTGACTGTACCAAATTAAATAACTTTTATCTAAGTTTCGATCATCACATGCTTTATAATAAATTCTAGCATCTTCCTTATTACTGAGGTTAGGCTAACAGGTCTGTAAATGCCTGTATATTGTCCTTTTCTCCTTCTTAAACGGTGTGGAGATATTTGCTAGCTCCCAGTCTATAGGAATCATTCCAGAATCCATAGAATGTTGGAAATTGATCATCACTATATTGTCTTTCTCTGAAGCTGCTTCCTTCAATGCCCTGGGATGTAGAATATCAGGTTCCGGGGATTTACCAACTTTCAGCTCCGTTAATTTCCTCAGTATGACCTTCCTACCAATAATAACTTGCTCCAACTCCTCATTCTCCCTAATCAGGATGATTTTAAAGAAGGAGGGAGAGGTGGGGGGGTTTACTGAAAAAATTCCCGAGTGTGGAGTCCAGGCAGCTGAATGCCTGGTGGATGATTAAAATCAAGGATGTTCAAGAAGCCAGAATTTGAGGAATGCAGAGATCTCAGAGTGCAACATTTTGAGTACTGTCTACAATTCTGGTCACCCTGCTGTAGGAAGGATGTTATTAAACTAAAAAGGGTGCAAAAAAGATTTACAAGGATGTTACTGAGACTGGAAGGTTGGAGTTATAAAGAAAGATGAGAATAGGCTGGGACTTTTTTCCCTGGAGCGTAGGGTGCTGTAGGGTAACATTATACAGGTTTATAAAATCATAAAGAGCATAGAGAATGTCTTTTCTGCAGGTTAGTGGAGTCCAAAACTAGACCACATAGGTTTAAGGTCAGACGGGAAAGATTTAAAAGGCACCTGAGGAGCAACGTTTTCACGCAGATGGTGGTGCATGTATGGAATGAGACACCAGAGCAGGTAGTAGAGGCGGGTACAATTACAATATTTAAAAGATGTTTGATCAGGTATATGGATAGGAAAGAATTAGGGGGATGTGGGCCAAATGCAGGCAAATGTGACTAGTTTAGTTTGGGAAACCTGGTCAGCATGGACGAGTTGGGCTGAAAGGTCAGTTCCTATGCTGTATGATTCTATGACTCTAGTGCCTCAACCATGCTTCCAGCCTCCACCTATAGATCCTTTTGAGGGTCTTTAGGAGCCCCATCCTCGTCTTATTCTCTTTTAATGATTTGGGTGTCTTTAGAAGATTTTTGGTTTCCCTTTCATGGTAGCTGCTAATCTTTTCACAAACACTTATTTTGGCCTTTTTTAGTTCCTTTTTCACTTCCTCTACAAGCTTTTTATATTTGGCCCAGTTTTTATAATGCTTGCATTACCAACCTGACACCTATCATACAATCCCGTTTTCTGACTTGTTTTACTCTCTGTCTCTTCTGTTACATGGGAAGCTCTAAGTTTGCTTGTCTTACCTATCACCTCATGGAAATGTAGCTCCACCATATCCCAAATCTCATTTTTAAAGGCAGACCATTGTTTCAGTAAATTTTACTTGCCAATCTGTAATTCCAGTTTACTTGGGATAGATCCATTGTCACCAATTAAAATTGGCCCTCCGCCTATTAATTATATTTATTCTGGATATCTCCCTATCCTTTCCTGTTGATAATCTAAACCCCAGGATACTATGATCCCCACTCTCTACACATTCACCTATTGATACTTGATCCACTTGACCCATCTCGTTCCATAGAAACATTCCTCTACACTTGTTAGGCTTGAAATATACTACTCAAGAAAATTCTCCTGAAGACATTTCCGCAACTCTTCTCTTATTAGTTCAGTGTATGGTAAGGTAATTAAAGCCTCCCATTATCATTACTCTTTAGTCTTTGCATCTTTCTGTAAATTCCTTGCAAATTTGCTCCTCTGTATCTTTCTCACATCATTGGCCTACAGTGTACACAACAGTGGTAATAATAACTCTATTCATTCTTGACTGTATAGGAAATTCTCTCTCTAGTGCTCCAGCACTTAATCAATGCTAACATTCCCTCCTTCCTATCTTTTCTGAATGACTTGTATGCAGGGATATTTAATATCTAATCTGGCTGTCTTTTCTGAGGTCTTTGTGATCACAGCATTCTACTCCCGTGTGGATTTTTGTGCCCACAGCCCATTAAACCTTAATTATCACACATCATGCATTCAAATAGATTCACTTCAAATCTAATTTAGACCTATTGCATTTCCTCTTACTCTGACTCTACTAATATCACTATGTCTTATTCTGCTACCATCTGTTTCTGCTGTTTTTTGAGCACCTTGTTTCTCTTTTCTAATGATACATCAGGATTCCCTACCAAGTCAATTTAAACCTTCCCAACAGGACCAGAAAGCCATCCTCCTTGGCCATTGGTTCTGACTCTAATATAACCCTTCAGACCTGTACAGGTTCCACCTCTCCAAGAACTGTCCCAGAAATCTAAAGCTGCCTCCCTCCTGAATTATCTCTTTGGTCGCAGACTAATCTGTTCTATCCTCCTGTTACTTTATGCACTAATGAGTGGCCCTGGATATAATCTGCAGATTTTTTTCCCTTGAGCTCTTTCTTGATAGTGTTCTTCCTGCCTCTCTAAAATATTTGTGGTACCCATTTTCTACATATATTGTTAGTACCAATATGCAATATGACCTCTGAGTGTAGAGACTGTCCCTTCTGAATTCTCACTAACATCCACACCCCTGGCACCAGAGAGGCTGCTTACCATTCTAGAATCACATAAGTGGCTGCTGAAATACCCGTGTTTCCCTGATGATAAAATGTCCTTTCATTATTGCTTTCCCAATTTCCCTGCTGTTTGCCCATACCATTATGTCACTTGTGGTACCATGAACCTCACTCTAGCTGCTTTCCCCTGAGGAATCATCACTCATGTCGATACTCAGAACTGAATACCAGTTAGAGAGCAACATGTACTAAGTGCACTCCTACATGACCTGCTTACCTGTCTGGCAGTCACCAATTGCCTTTTTCCCTGTACATTTTAAGCTGTGTGGTGACATCTAGAAGAACACTATCCACAAAGCTCTCAATCTTGTGGATGTGCAATGGTGGGGTCAATTGCTGTTCAAGCTCCAAAAACCTAGACTTCCAGATACTCCAGTGAATGATATGACTTGCACATATAGATGAACAACACTTTTGCTCATCTCGTCCAATATCTTATAATGCGGCTAGCTGCCATATTGTCCTCTGTAATGGCCCCTGTGAAGTGCTTTGGAGTATTTTATTGTGTTGAAAATGCTATATAGAGATAAGTTGTTATTATTGTAGTCCAGAACATCAGGACCTGTCCTGAAATTCCCGTGTGTAGCAGGATATACACTCCATGAAGTGCTTTGTCATGCATCTATTTATTAAAGTATCAACTAAAGCTAGCAGAAAGAAAATGAAAGATTTTAAAAGATACTGTGATTAGGAGCCTAAAAGATATTCACTTCTAAGAATCTTCCAATGAATTAATATAGTTCAAAGCTCTAAATTCTGGATCAAAATATCCATACTTCCACATTTACCCTCAATCGTGATGTTAGCTTCCTTGAGTTCAACTGATCATTTCTTCCTGCACTGATTCTGACCTTTACCCTGGCGTCATTCTGTTCATGTAGCTTCAGATGAAGTTTCTTTGCTTCTGCAAATTGTAGACCTTTCTACTCTAGGTCCACTCCTACAGGTCAGCCTACCCTGATGTCATTTACGTTGAGCTCATGTTCTAACCTTTTAGACAGTTTAAAAGGAAATTGGTGGAAAGTCTCTCTATCTCTTTGATTGCTGGAAGCAAATCACCAGCCAAAAGCCACAATCAAACAGGAAATCAAACAACTTCTTTCAGCCAATTTGCAGAATATAAAATCTAAAAAGCAACAGCTGAACTGCTAGAGTCAGGACAAACTGGAACTGCCCAATTTAATGGTCACAATATTACATGGTCTAGTCCACACGGAAAAACCACACACTGATTTGTATATCTTTTTAATTTTTTATCGTTTTACTCATTTCTCATTTCTAATCTGTACATATGTGTATTACATTTCCTTTTTTATAGTATAGTAACAAATAAACTCAGTATTTCTTTAATCACGTTTAAATTGGCTAATTTTAAAACATTAACATATTGGAACTGGGAAAGATGGGAAGGGTCCATTGTTTTTAAGTTAAGTTTTAAGTTAACCTTATTGCAACCAACTGAGTGGGATTGAATAATGAAGAGAAGGCAATTCCTCCCACCTCATCTTGAATCATAATGAATTGGAGCCCCTTGCCTGGGGACCAGTTGTGATGACGTATTCACGTGAGTCTGCCAATGTTCTTTAATACAGGTTCGTTGCACAAAAGAAAGAAAAACAAACATATTGAGAAAAGACACATTTTGTCAAAATTTTATATTGTGAACTCATCAAGTCAATTTGAAATATAAGAAAGAAATTAACATTTATACTGCACGAGTGGGGAGCTGAATAGTTAGCAAGTGGACTCTGATTGGTTGAGACAAAGAGAATGCAACCATTATTGCTAATTGACAGTTAACCACTGGGCTTTGTTTAAATTTTAAATCAAACAGTTTAATTTTGATTTATCAGGGCATTGCCTGAGAAATGAACCAGCGGATGGCTTTCACTTATTTTCTGGAGTTGCAACAGGTGAAATGTGCATACATGATCTTTTTGTCTGAAAAGGTACAGGGCCCTGCGTATTAATACAGGTAGCTTCCAGTGCACAGAGGTATGCTATGCTGTGAGCCTGATCGGCAATCCTAAATTTGTTGTCTGCATAATTCTTCATACATTCATAATTAGCAAGCAAATTCTGTCCAATTCCAGAATCACATCTTTCTGTCAAATGCTGTATGGGGGGATTCTCTACAACAGTACCACTGCAAAATCTATTTGCTGAGCTGGAAAATATAGGCTCATAGGTTCACATTCCTGGAGTGTATATGTACAGATTGATTAACAATAACTCTATTAATTTTGGGGTGCAGAGAAAATTCAGCAGCATGTTGTCTGAGATGGAACATCCCAGCTGTGAAGAGAGGCTGGAAAAGCTAGGTTGTTTCCTTTGGTGCAGAGACAGTTGAGGGGATCCTAATAGAGGTGCATAAGATTATGAGGGGTATGGAGAGGGTGAAGAGAAAGCAGACGATCCCCTTAGTTGAATAGTCAATAACAAGGGGACATATTTTTAAGGTGAAAGGCAGGAGTTTAAAGGGGACTTGAGGGAAGGTTTTCACTCCCAGATGTGGTGAGGGTCTGGAATGTACTGCCTGGGAGGATAGCTGAAGTGGGTGACCTCACAACCTTTAAAAAATACTTGGGTGAACACTTGAAATGACATAACATTCAAGGTAATGGGCCAAGTGCTGGAATATGACCAGTTTTAGTGTAGTTTTGGCACTACACACCTGAAGGGCCAAAGGACATCTTATGTACTATCCCCTATTCCCAATTCCTTCGCCTCCGCCGCATCTGCTCCCAGGATGAGGCATTCCACTCCCGTACATCTCAGTTGTCCTCGTTTTTCAAGGACCGTAACTTCCCCGCGTCAGTGGTCAAGAACGCCCTCAACCGTGTCTCCCACATCTCCCACAACTCATCCCTCACACCCCGTCCACGCAATAAGAACCAAAAAAGAATCCCCCTCGTCCTCACGTACCACCCCACCAACCTCCGGATCCAACGCATCATCCTCCGACACTTCCGCCATCTGCAATCCGACCCCACCACCAAAGACATCTTTCCCTCCCCACCCTTATCTGCTTTTCAGAGGGACCACTCTCTCCGTGACTCCCTTGTCCGCTCCACACTCCCCT